TAAACTGGAATTAGCAGACAGACTTATTTTTAGTTAACTTTCTCTGAAATATCTCTATATCATCCAGTGACTAATCCCTCATATGCTCTGTTTTGTTCAGCTAACCTCAGGATTTTAGGTTTAAGGATGGAGATGGAAATCAAAAGCTTATTTTAATTCTTTCTGTTCAGCGAATCTGATTTGTTCACATATCCTCTACACAGATTCACATAATAGGCTATATATTACCAAACAAAACCCATCTGTTTCTTTCTTTGAACCATGAAAAGTAAAACAGGTTTCCTGCAGCATTTTTGCATGGATCTTAGTAAAATTACTCCTTAACCAAAAGAATGGCCAATGTTCAGTTTCCTGGTTGGGACAACCAGATTTGTCTTATGTATTTATAACAGTTAATTCAATGTGCATCCCAAAAATAGTTCACAGGCATAACATAGTTTGTCATCATAAAACTCCAGCTTTAATTTGTATTGAGGAGAACAGTTATTATGGACTTCAAAAGAAAAAAAAAATCAGTTTAAAATAAACAGAAAGCTATTGCAGATAAGGAATATTTCATCCTTTTCCTACGTTAACAACATTTTAATGGCAAGACAAGAAACGAACACCTGAAAGAAACTTTTTTTTAAATGTTTTCTCAAGATAGTATTAAAGGAAAATATTTTACCTGAACAAGAAAACTAAGGTCAAACTTATTCATATTTTAATGCCAGCAGCCTCACTGGCACTACATAAAAGACTACTACTTTGAATGATTTAGGGGAAGAAAAAAAACAGAAAAACCTTGAATTATTGATATATATTTAAAAAAATCTCAGGATCCTTGTTTTAATGTCAGAATTAGATAGTATAAAATATTAACACAGTGTGTGTATGTATGCGTTAAGGCACAAACAGTGTCATCTTCTAATAGATGACAGTGTACACAATCATTTTAAAGACAATAAACATGAGAAATTCTGCAAATGGAAGAAAACAAGGCAAAGGTATCCCTGAGGTACAACCCAACTCAAATAAGGACACTGGGGATTTATTAAAACAGAATATCTGCTTAAATCATACAAGCATTATTGAAAAAAAGCCAACCTATTATTCCAGATATATGTGTCCACGAAAATCAAACATGATAAATCAGACTGAATATAAAGTAAAATATTTTCCAAAAATCCTGTTTTGGCTCTATAAATGTTTTCCATGCTTGTAACTTTAGAATCAGGCCAAGCATTAAAATACATGGAACAACTGTGTTGCACTATATTAGCTTAGAACCTCAATTTAGTAATAATGAAAATCCAGACGGCTGCTTCGGAATAGGAGCCCAAATAGGGCTCCTATTCCGAAGCAGTCTAACAAAATAAAATAAGCTGTGTAACAAAATAAAATAACTTAAAACTTCCAACTTAAAACCAGTAAATAACCATCCCCAAAAAGTTGAACTGTATATACAAACCTAGTGACCAGGTTTGAAGGTAAGTAGCAATATCCATCTCATTCTGGGGAATCCCAAAGGTTTACCAGGTCAGAAGCTAAAAGCATTATTATTTAACGTTAGCAACACTTTTGAGTGCAGCCCTAAATTACTCCCATGTGTGAAAGAGAAGCTGATTTGTCAATTTTTCGAGTAACTGCTCTCACACTTCATTGTTTGGTTACTTTGAGTATTGCACACAATCTCATTGCAATAAGTCTTGGAGGATGAGGAAAAACTAAAATCATTAATTCACATATAGCCTTGGCCAACAGACAGGTTCCCAACAGAAACAAGCCTGATGATGATCAACCAAATTAGTTGATCGCACATGCCTGTCATATGCAGAGCTTGTGTTTTGAAAATCGACGTACAAGGTCTGCCAGGATGCTGCAGATGTCGGGGACTCAACCTGTCACTGATTACATCATACACCCCAAGCTACATCAGATTGGCCTTCATGGCTGTTGTCCCTGATAACAGACTCCTCTGAAGAGGAGAAAAGACATCAAAGCCATCATGAACAACAGGGGGGATTGCAGCTTCACCCCCCCAACCATGTACAACTAAGAACATGCAATACTTGACATGTATTACCTGTGGTCTGATAAACCATCAACTGATCTGATTTAGATGGTGACAAGTGGCAGCAACAGTGGAAGGAGTACGAGAACACGCGGACTCCGCTGAGATTCATGCATGGTAGTGGGAGTGTCATAGTTTGGGGCTACATGTGTGCTGCTGTGAGGACCTACGAGTATTTAAAGCGATAGTTCGGTATTTTTGACATGAATCTGTATGGCATCCCCATCACCAGCGGCATGCAATCACACTGACTTACCCCTGGCAGCGTCCTGTGAGCAGAGTTATCGTCCAGTTTTGGTCAAGCCGAAAGTAGTCCGACAGGTTTTTAGAGCCAGCGAAATAAAACGTTTCTCTTCCCAAAACATTATGTGTTCAAAAGAGCGATATTTTCGCATCCCAAAAACATTGTAGTGGAAAAAGTCCCACGTCGTTATCAATTGGTCCTATTTTCTCTCTGTTCGTATCAGTGCGCGCCGTCATTCAGACAGCGAGCTCAACAACAGCCATGTCTCCCTCCGCCTAGCTGATACGAACAGAGAGAAAATAGGACCAATTGATAACGACGTGGGACTTTTTCCACTACAATGTTTTTGGGATGCGAAAATATCGCTCTTTTGAACACATAATGTTTTGGGAAGAGAAACGTTTTATTTCGCTGGCTCTAAAAACCTGTCGGACTACTTTCGGCTTGACCAAAACTGGACGATAACTCTGCTCACAGGACGCTGCCAGGGGTAAGTCAGTGTGATTGCATGCCGCTGGTGATGGGGATGCCATACAGATTCATGTCAAAAATACCGAACTATCCCTTTAAAGGAACAATGAATGCCAACATATACCTACTGAAGCAGAGTAGGATCCCTTCTTTTGGGAAAATGGGCTGCATGTTAGTATTCTAACATGATGACCAAACACACATCACAACCTCTGTCTTAGTGAAGAAAAAATCAGATTAAAGGAGTGGAATAGGCAAGCTAATCTTCAGTCCTAAACCTTTTTCAGCATCTGTTGGGGATCCTGAGATGAAACGTGGCTTAGAACAAGATCTCTAACATCCACCAGATCTGTGATTTCACAATGAAAGAGATCAGGCCGTACTGGAAAAAACGCACAAAATGTACAATTTTGGATGTGTAGAAGCATTACCTTTATTAGGATGTGCCCCTTGATAATGGAGCTCTACACCCTTTAAAGCTGAGCCTGACAACCTTACAGATAGAACATTTTAATGCTTGTAAGAGATTGAGTTTTACAATGACCTTGGTAATACAACCATCACAGCTATCAGACTCTGTCTCCATCATAAAGGATAAAAGCAGGATTAAGAGATCTTCAAAGTGCTCCATCCACCATCTGATGATATCCTCACGCCTCTTCGACACCTCCCTCCCCAAACCAAACACAGATTTTTTTTTTTTTTACTAAAAAAAATGTACTTTATAATAGCTTCTAGCAATTCTTTTAACACCCGAGTATGTGATTCTGCTTTTCAAATACTTTCACTCCACCTGGCCACTCATCAGCCGTTTCAGAAGTCCCTTGAGGTTAGAGCCCCTGAAGGCCTTTTCTACTCAGCTTGGTGACTTCTACCTCCGTCTCCTAGGTGGTTCAATCGACCGCTCTGGTATCTCTTTATCAGAATGCCAGACATGTGAATGCAGGTCAGATAATGCAATTACAAAATCAGGTATCCTCTGACCAATTATTGGTTACAAACGCTCCAGATCTAGCATGACATATGAATGTTTTGCATGTGAATTGTAACAAATATGCCTTTACATAAAATTACTACAGTAAAGATCCAAACCTTTTTTATTACTTAATAAAAAGGAAACCAGGGGAGTTTTGAGGATCCTGCAAGCAGATCTTGTACGGTAAACAACTCATTTTCTGAGGTGGTTCTCTGTAAAGTCAAGTGCAATAGCATGTTTTCCCTATTTCATAGGCATAGGTATAATCTTTATATAATTATATAAAAATTGAATATAACCCATAACAGCTGGATACAAATATATGGGACATTTCATCCGTTATAATTGCATGATTTGTTTATTAATTATTTAATTACCTTTATGTCATTGGGAATGTACTTTCCTGTGTGTCTTGCTACTGTTGTATATATAAACCCAGTTATTTACACAAAGTGATCCCCTTAAATTTCATAAACCAAAGCTGATGCCAAAATAAAACCCTGGGGACTCTGGGATTAACTGCCCTTGACATTTATACTGCAGTCTGAAGTGAGAACTAATTTCATCACCTTGGCTTTAAACTTAAGTCTAGGTTGAGTTTCATTGGATCTGTGAAGTTGAATGTTTCCACGTTGAAGCTTTCTTTTATTCTATTTTATGGCGCATATTGGTTCTATGGTTGCCTTTTGAACACATTTCATTAGTTTTTAATCTTATTGTGAAACACTTTGGTCAAAATTTTAGTTTTTTCTTAAATGCGTGCACTAAATAAAATTAGTTTTAATAATTTAAATTGCTATATACACCACTATAAAATACAGTTAAAGCTGAAAAAGGAAAAAAAAATGAGAATAACAAATCATTCAAGATTAACCGGTTCACTTAAATAGAACTTTAAAGCATTTTTTCTGAATTTATTCATATATTCATGCTTTACATTAAAAATGCATTCTAAGGCAGTCTGTTTAAAGTGGATTGCAACTAAACTGTAAACTTAAAGCACCATGCCTTGTACAGTTAAAGATAAATGTAAAATCAACTATGAACTTTTAATTCTCTTAACACTTTATTTTGTCCTCTTCTTCCGCACATGTAGTATTATGCGTTTATAAGAAATACTACATATATCTATATATATATATATATATACTGTATATACACATAAACATCTTGCAGTGAATTGGCAAACTGAACGAAAACAAGAAACAATCACAAGTGGAAAGTCTTTACTAAGAAGGACAAAAAAATACTTTAAATACTTTGTAATGCTATTATTATTATACAGTTAAAACAAGATTCCAGATGATAAATTACAAGCATGATGTAAGATTTGAATCAATTCCCACTTTTTGATCGGTAGCCTGACATGTTTTTCTAGATAATTCTCTGTTTTAAAGATCAGCGTATAACTCCCGCTGTGTAGTGCTAAAGTCAGTGCCTTGTCCAGCTGAAATCTTCCATGACCTCTACTGGTTCCCACACCTGTTATCTTCATCCCTTGTCCATCATCTTCTCATTTAATATCAGAGTTAAAAAGCAGTTCTCTATAAATAACAGCATGGCTCTTTCTATGCTGTATATTCTTTCACTTATGTTTCTTTCATCTATCCTATCAGACACTGTAAGATTTAATTTTAAACTAAAAAAACAAACAAAAAACTTGTTTTTGTTTTCATTTTTGTCACTCTGGGCTCTTGCGACCAGTTTTGGTGAGGACCAGGTTCAGTTCATTGAGCAGATTAGGGGGCATACTTCCCCCGACACCCGTAGGTTTTTTGCTGGGCATCTTATTGCTGGCTTGAGGTAAAACAGGCAATGTCATGGGTTTCATGTGTCTTGGGATGGATGGAGGTGGCAGTGGTTGAGGTAGGCAAATGTCCATGGAGGTTCTACGTTGGGACACCTCTCTGGTCTCGGATGGGTTGCCGGGTTTTAAATATTTGGGTATGCTTTGGGTTTTTAGGTGAACACCGGGGTTTTTGGCTGTCCTCCAGTCAGTATCACCAAGGGAAACCCTCCTATCAGTCATCTGCAGGAAAAATGAGGACAGTTGCATGATAACACCCTTTAAGAAAAAAGACAACTGAATAATCTTAATGGTTTAAGATCTAAATCATATATATATATATATATATATATATATATATATATATATATATATATATATATATATATATATGTTCAGCTGAGGAGCTGAATACTACTTGCATTAAGGAACAAGGTAGGAAAAGGAGTCTCTATGCTTTTTTATCAGGTTTAGCAAAGGAAGCTTGAGAGTTTTCTCACTAGTGCAAAGGAGCTATAAGGAATCCCACAATCCTTTGTGTGACATGATCTATAAGCCCATGCCACCTCATGGAAATTAACACAAATACATTATTGCTTTATGTGAATTGTGTATGATACATACAGATGTTCTTTTTTAGGTTTGGGTAAGGAATACCCTTAATTTGCATTTAACATTTTTTTTACGAAGACCTGGATTCAATTTAAATGCCGACTAGAATCTGCAAAGCAGTTCAGAGGCTCCTTGGCAACGACAGAATAAGATTCCACAAAAGTGAAGTAACAGGAGATAGAGAAAGGAGGAAGTGGCTAAGATTTTATGAAATTGGATGCTCCCTAAAATGTTTTACCTCTGAGCTGAAACTGTGCTTGTATGGTGGAACCATGCTCCTTTCTGTTACAGCAGAACCTCCTTTGGACACTTTGAGATCTGCGGTTTCTTTGGATGCGCTGGTCTTCAGCTGAAGGTCAGACCCATGCTAAGGAAATATTGCAGAAGGGATAAAAAAGAAAAAAACACTGTGTTAGAAGTTTTGGTCAAATGGATGTTATTTCAACTGAAAACAGAAAATGAATAAAAGTAAAATATTGAAAGATAAAAATCTGCAAGGAGACATACAAAAAGAAAAAAAAACTATTAATGGAGATTTTTGCTAATTAATTAAATGGAGCAAAGGTATTGAAGACGAAGTGTTCTCCGACTATGCTACACTTTGCAGATCTAATAGATGTACTGTCATGGTCAGAGATGGGAAGTACTGTAACGAGTACAAATACTTCGTTACTGTACTCAAGTAGATTTTTCTGATATTTTTACTTTACTTTACTACTTATTTTTATGGCGACTTTTTACTTCTACTCCTTACATTTTTACACAAATATCTGTACTTTCTACTCCTTACATTTTAAAAAATTGGCTCGTTACTTTAGTTTTGAATCATTTCAATGGAGTTACCGTTATTATTTTTCATGACATCAATACCAAATTCAATCTAATTGGATTGGAATCTACGTTGCATTTGACGCACCACTACAAGATGAATCGACAGATTCTGCGGTATTCATTCGCGGCAAATCATTGCAGCTTGGTGGCGGTGGCGTTAGCATAGTAGTATGGACGACGAGATGATTGAAAATGAACACAACGGAGATCTAGTCCTATTGGCAGACATCCATTTAAAATGTAGGCAACGCCATGAAAAAAGTGGTTTCTACTTTTACTTTTATACTTTAAGTAAATTTACAAGCCTGTACTTTGTTACTTTTACTTGAGTGAAGAAGTTTAATCAGTACTTCCACTTTTACCAGAGTATTCTTTAACACAAGTATCTGTACTTTTACTCAAGTACGGAAAGTGAGTACTTTTGCCATCTCTGGTTATGGTCGTGGTTCTGTACTTTACTTTGCTCCTATGTTTTCTAGTTTTATTGGTTTAATTCCTATTTTGTTGTAGTTTCTAGATTTATGTTAGTTCTCAGGTTTTTCTGTTGTTGTCCTCTTTTGCCCTTTTGTGTGTGTTCCTTTCCTCTTGGCTCCCTTGTTGTCTCCACTCACACCTGCTCCTTATCCGCTCGTTAGCCCTGCCTTTGTCTCAGTCAGCTACATATAGGCTCTGTTCGAAAACCTAGGACGCATCCTTAGAAGACCGGATTCGAAGGCCGATTACGTCATAGCCCGGCCCCGAGGTCTGGTCAGATTCCAAGAGTCCTCGTTATGCGGCCTTAAAATGCGTCCTTCTTTTTTGCCTGATTTGAAGGACGGGTCCGATGTATCCTCGGTATTCTTGGATATCCCAGGATTCATTGCGAGACCAAGCAAGCCGTGATCAGAGGAAAGGTTACTTGGCGCCGAACAGTGGTGAAAATTGGAAGTTCAGTTTAATATAATACAAGTCAGTGAATAGTTCCGTCTGAAATGAATAAAAATAGTTGTTTTAATGGTTACTGAGTCAGATATGTGGCGGTAATGTTTGATTTATCTAAAGGTTTTAATCTGTTACTGTGTAAATGGGTTTGGCTGGAATTAAAGGACAGATTCTAATATATTTGCAGGGTGGGGACTATAAATCTGATAGGATTTTTATCTTTTTATTGCTGTTTTGCACAATATGCTTAACTAAGTATTTTTTGTTGTTGAATATTAGAGATTTTGCAGATATATATTTTTTAATAAATATATTGTTTAGATTTACTTATATCTTTCTACCCCTTTTATAGAATAGAATAGAAAATCCCTTTATTTTCCCACAATGGGAAAATTTACAGCAGCAGAAAGATTATTGAAAATGGTCACACAGATGAGGACCTTAGAAAAATGTATAAGAATAACATAATAGTGAAGAGTTAAAATATAAACAATACAATTCTGTAAAGTGTTTAACAATATAAAACTGGGGAATAAATAACCAATATGCAGCTATGGACATTTTTACAGTAATGGATATTTGAAAATAGCAGCAACATCAGAGATGTGCAAAATGACAGCAGCAGGTTATTTAACTGACTAAGGTTTCTATCATTACATTTGATTTTATTTGTTCCTGCTCCTGGTGGTTGGAACCTTTATTCCACTCTGGATTCTTGTGGGTGTAGTCTTTGTTCACTTCACAATAAAAATAGAAATAAATAAACAGTTTTGAAAACTTCTGTATTCATTCTTGTCCTGCTTTGTGTGTCAACGTTCACGGTTGCTAAGCAACAGAGCATACGGCGGTAAAACCCGCCGAAGGGTAGACCTGGTCGAATTTACAGCCAAAACTCTTCCGGTCTCCTTATTTTCAAGGACTTCGAAGGATCCAGTCTAGGTAGACCGCGTCCTTGGAGGATGCAGCCCAGGTTTTCGAACAGAGCCATACTCTCCCTCTGCTGTCACTCTTTGTTGGTTCCTTGTCTTTGCTGTCCTCTCAAGCTGTTGTCTACCTACCTCGTCTCTCCCTGGCTCCTCGTGTTTGGTTTTCCCCAGATGTCTCCATAGTTCTGGTTTGCTTTTCATTATTAGTTGGATTTTTGGATTCCTGCCTTTGTTTACTGTTTTTGCCCCATTAAACTCCAAGAAATCTCCTCAGTCTCTCTGCCTTTGCATTTGGGTCCTCCAAACCACAACCAAACCTTGACATGTACCGTACTCGCCCGGATATGTTTCTTTTTTAAACGATGTAAAAATGTGGTGTCATCTGATAATCGTGGTCTAACCGACTATACAAGCTGAAAGTTGTCAGTCACCACTAAACGAACGCAACAGCAGAGGGCGCCAGTTTTTTCTAAAACCATTGACCTCGCTGTGGCTGGGGTCATCTTTCTATCACCACAGGGAAGAAGTAAGAGGGGTGTTTGAAATGGAGAATCTCTGCACAGAAGAGAGAGGATCAAAAGCCAGAGAAGTTTCCAGACGTTTTAAGCACAGTCATGAAGGCAATTTTAAAATAATGGTGGTCAACGCAGCAGAGGCCTCAACTGTCAAGCAGCAAAGAAGTACAGAGTTACAGGGTGCAATGTCAGAAGATAGCACATTTAAAAAGACCAGGAAAATGCAAACAGCAAAATAAAAGCTTATCAGAAAATTGCAGAGCTGCAAGGTGACAGCAGGAGTGACAGCGAAGCAGAGGACTAGTTGCAAGATTTCAATGAAATATATTATATAATATTGTATCATTCAGAATTTGACTGCAGTTATCCTGTTGCTTGTGATTCTCTTTCTTTTACTTTCATTAAAATTTACATTAAAAAGCTTGGACACTAATCCAGGTGAACAACCAGCTTCTTTGGCAATGAGCTTTACTAGGTCACCCTCATTATCCAAACTATGTGGAGAACAACTCCTTCCTATGACTGCAAAAGAAAATGATCCAGCTTTTATTGATTTAATGTCAATATGTAACTGAAATGTTAGTTTTAAGAAACTGGAATTTGGGATTTTCTGGGTTCTAGGCCATATTCACCCAAAGGAACCAAAATATAAGCTTGAAAGATATCAGAATACAACTAATAAATACACAATATAGAGCCGTTACCTTTTCAAAGATAGATACTTTGCTCTAGAACTTATTGAGGAAACCCTGTACTCCAAATGAAGATTCAAAGTCTTTATAAATGATGAATTTTTGTCCTACAGCAGAAGTTCAACTGAGTTCTCATCTCTGAATTATCTGTAATTTTAACAATGTCCCCCTTTAAGAAAAAAAAAAAAAAACTGCTACAACCCATTTGGACTACCAGAGCTGTGCCTCCTTAACAAATCTTTATTACATCTCCGTGAGCATACATTTTTTGACCTTTCAACCGTCCTACCTGCCCTCATCACCGCCATCACTCATTACACCTTACTGTAGAGTAAAATCCTTCATCACTGGTTGCTATGGAAACTGTGAAAGTACAGCGCTTGCTAACAGGTAATGGAAATCAAGAGAACCTGAAGCCCCTGTCTTACTTTCTGGTCCACACAATTCTCTTTGTCCTTCGAGCAGGTCCTGTGTCCTTCCACCGAAAGCGTCTCTGTTGGAAGCCGACAATCCTAATGTTTAGAGGATTTATGATGAGAAGGATAATACTTTTTAGCCAGCTCCAGACTGCTATAGATTTAGCTATTGGAGAGCTAAAAGCATCTCCAGAGATCAAGAAAAGAGTGCACTGAAATAAACACCTTCAAAACAAATACTGCCTTTCCCTTTAGATCAATCTCCCTTGACAGTGTTGCCCTTTTTACTTGCTAACCCAAACTAAAGCACTAAAAGGCTTTTACAGTAAGTACCCTTGATAAGCAGCACTGACCGCAGACAGATTCCCATAGAAGAGTGCCAATACTGATTTAATGTGCTGAGCAGACAAAAACAGCTCTAGTTATTTATATTGAAAATGACCAGAAAATAAACTCATTTATTTTAATGAGAAAAAAGATTAAAAAAAGGATAGTAGGAATGAGCGATAGGGAGAAAAAAATATTCCAAGGATATGCGAAATCCATAACTGCTCTACTTGTGTTTGCTTTGGCCTGCATTATTTATGTAATATGTGCTGTGTCAGCGACTGACGGTGACAACACAGCGCTCTGTCTGGGGGCTAAGCACCACAATGTGATTGCTACAGTCGCCTTGACCTTATTTTCACAGCTTTTCCACATAAAGTGATTTATGACATTGTGAAGTGACCTCGAAAAACTTCACAGTCCTCTCCATGCTTTATGTGTTTAATCTGCCTTTACAGTATTATAGAAATTGCTGATTGGGGTAACATCTGAGTTATTCATTAATACTTTCTAGTTTTAAAATGTTGGACAGTAAAAATGGATTTATTTAGCCAGCAAAGGTGTTTTCATCCAAAAGAAGAGAAGCACACAGCCATGGTCAAGAGCTTTTCAAAGAGACATAAATGTTAATTTTACCCAATTTTTCTGTTTCAGTTTCTTTAAAGATGGCCCACACTGTTGTTAAATTATTACAGGAAGTGACTTCTGTTTTTTTTTTTTTTGCCTAATCCAATTCACAGTCATTAAAAGCCCTTAGCTAATTTCCTTTCATACATACAGTGGATATTTAATAGGGCACAGATTGTACAAGTTCTACTAATAAAGATAAAAGATTTGTAATTTTCATCATACAGTAGGTAAACTTAAAATATGAAGAGTATTTAAATATGAAAAAAAAAAAAGAAATTACGTTGTAGGAATTCAAAGAATTTATTTGTATATTGTGTTGGGAAAATGAATTTGCACTCCAACAAAGATGAAAGACGCCTGACTCCCTCACAGACCTGCAACTTCTTTAAGAAGCTCTGCAGTCCTCTCTTATTACCTTTACATATTATGTTTTTTACTTAAGGACACCAGACAGGAAACTGTAGATAAGCATCAGGGTGGGAAGAGTGCATCTACAATAGCCGAGCACAGTGGTATATATACTGTAAATCAACTATGGGATTAATGGTAAGAAAATGGAAAACAGAAGATCTAATATTAATCCCCCATGATCTGGGGTCCAAACAAGATGTCCTACTGTGGGGTCAAAATAATCAAGAGTACGGTGAGCAACATACGATGCCAGAATACGCCACCATGGTAACTAGCCTCGCTAAGAATGAATCCAGCGTCATGGTACCGGAAAGTCAGGGTGTCACCCAAAGTTGTCTGGCTAAACCAATAATCCTGCGTCATGGTACAGGCCTTTAGTGAAGACTTACCTCGAAACATTTGACCCCTGTCATTGTCAACTAAATTTGGGCTAAATGGACAAACTATTGAGTTTAAAGTTTGTTATTCACCAAATACTCATTTTCAAAAAAATTGTACAAATATCTTCTTCAAAAATCAAAAAAAGTAATATAATTTTCTGGATTTTTCCCCTATTCTTTCTCTCATAGAGAAGTGTACCTATGATGATAATTTCAGACCTCTCTCGATCAGTGGCTGACTAAATACTTTTTTGCCCCACTTTATCACCAGAGAAGAGCTCTTAGTTGAAAATACTCTACCAAAATTAACTCATTGGCGACTATTATGTGCACCTTCAGTTCCTCATCAACATAAATAGGGAATCAGCCCTTCACATTTCAGCTAAGTAATGTATTTAGGCATCAATACAGAGTAAAGATGACAGAAGATTATCATAATAAGGTTGGAAATGAGAGCTTAACAACTTGGAAGGTGATGTATTTACTGGAGCTACAGTAGTTGGGCTGAGTGTATCTCAGAAACCACTGATCATCCCCAACCATCGGCTGGACTTAAAGAGAAAAGTCAGGCAGAAGATTTAAATTACACAAATCTACATTTTTGTGTACAAAGATCAAAATAATTACTTCTTACAATAAGAGTAAATTAAATGCAATATCTGAGCACAAATCATATGATACCTTCAAGCAGGTAGACTACAGAATCAGACTCCATCTGGTCATGTTTTTGCTAGCTAAAAACAAGATACTGAACCCACAATGCACAGAGTCTTGACAAAACATAACAATAGAAGACTGAAAATATATAATAAGGTCCATAAACTGGCTTTAGCATCAACATTCAGATGTGAGGATTAGAAAATGGGATAAATGAGATGAAAGTGAGAATCCATCCTGCCTTGTCTCAACTTCAACTGTTCAGCCTACTTGGGGGTGGGAGGTGTGGTTGTTCTACTTCTACCAGGATGATGCAACCTCTTGTAGACCTCAAATCATCTAAGGGTGGTTACTTGAACATGACAATGGTTTCACACTACTCCAAAGGCTTCCACAACCACCAGACGCAAGTCAAAAGATCATCTTTGAGATATAGTTCAACTGAAGGTTAACATCATGGATTCATGGCAGACAAATCTGCATGACCTATGTAAGGCTTTCATGTCAAAATGGAAAGAAAATCTTTAAGGAATCTTTGCCACCACTGCAGAGTTCATTGAAACGAAAGTCAGCAAGTAAGTGGGATTATTGAGGACATTATCCTTCCACTCCAGTAAGCATGAGAAAAAATAAGGGCAAACATGAGTTTATGTCATGCTGACAATGAAGCGACATGATCGCATCATTGTTTGGGTTCACTTCTATCCTAAAACTCTGTATAATAAAGCTACAATGAATGAACTGTGGTATTGAAACATCCTTAAGAAGGAAATTCTTTCAGCAATGCATCTTAAAAAATAAAGTGACTATTTGCATAATTTTGATAAAAAAATATTAAGAAATATGTTCATCAAAGCTTTTAAATTAGAAAAGTTCTTCATGTTTTCAGCTGTATTAGGCTTTACCTTCAGAGCGATGATGTCTGCAACCCAGCTGATCTGCGTCTCCCTCCTGTCACAACAGAAGTGCCTGCAGGGGAAAAACTCGGTCACATCACTCATAGACATTCACCTATTTTCTACACGTCGCTGCACATTATGTCTTCAGAGGGGACACCTCAGGTATTATCGTAAATGGACTTGGCAAGAAGAGAATTCGCTATCATTAGAAGTCATCCTACTGACTAATTTATCAACCTGACAGCCCAGATGTGGATATGTGATTCACACTGTATCTAAATGAGACAAATAATAATATTAAAAACAAAAATATGTGAAAGCGCCGGATTTCAAGCTTGTATAAAAATACATTTGTCCCATCAATTCTATGATACAGGACAGAACAAAAATCATGTATTTAAAAAAAGAAAGGATCAAAATAATTTTTTTAACAATTACAATGGCAACAGGAGGCTACATCTAAAACCTTCCAATTATATTTGTCATAGATATTGGGAACAACATTTAAATATGTCCATTTCCAGGAGTTCAAAACAAGACGATTTATGCTTAGTAGTGCCTACTCAGATTAAGGTTTATAGCAGATTATTTTATCAGGGACAATGCTATATAAATTATGGAGAAACTACCAAGTCTGTGAAAGTTGTAACTGATTTTTAAGGACTTTTACCATAAAACTATTTATGGTGCTGAGACAGGAGGAGAGATTAATCAGGTAGGAATTAAATCCCTGTATTGTATCCATAAACTTGGGATCATTTTACAATGTTTTAAATGCCAAAACAGCATTAAAATTACTTCAAAGTCAGAAGAACACTGTAATATTCATAGATATATTCTGTATGTCTATACATACAGCATATATCTATGTTTATGTGTCTATACATAAAACAACAGCTTGGGGGTTACAATTTTTTTATTTTAAGCTTTTAAAACTAATAATTATAAACAGATGATGATTGTATGAACAAGCCTCAGCTGGTGTGACTAAATTGGAATAGAAATACATCAAATTGGAATGATTCATGATCTTCCTGAATGGAACGGGAATGTTTCTGTTTTTTACTTTTAGAAATTACATGGAAATGCAAGATAATAACAATGGCTCCAGAAAACAACCTGATACAGGAGAGGAAAATACACATGGAGAGGAAACACATTTCTCTCCGTGGTAGATTACAGAGGTTTTGAAAGCATAACTTTTTAAATCCTTGGTATACCTCATATCACAATCTGTAACTATTTCATTCTTCTCCCAGAGCCTAAAATATTCCAGATTTTTAAATTTTTTTCAAAAGCTTTTGAAATTAAAGTAATGCCTGATTTAGCAAAAGAAACCATATCTTCTCTGCTGTCTACCAGATATTTAAAATAGGCATCTCTGCAGCTTTTTTTTAAAGATTAACTAATAACATGTTTTATCCTGCATTACTGTGTCTGCTCTGTTCAACAGAGAGGTGAAAGGAATTAGACAAAAAAAATTGATTAAAGAAACATATTTACAAAATAGAGCTCATAAAACTGAGAAACAATAGTAGGTAACTGGATTTATATTCTGATTAATTGAAACTTTGACTGATTACCTATCTTACTATCATTATTTATCCCCTCAACAAGCTTATTCATATATGAACCATTTTAAACAACTGGCTTAAAGTCTAAAAACACTTTCCTATTCAACTGAGTGAAAAAATTGTGTTTCCAAGTTTATGACTGGTAGTAGTTCATTAAGAGCTTTTAAATTAACCCACCCAGTTATGTAGCTCCCAGGATTTCACACTAATAAAACTCAGAGATTCAAGCTGATTCACAGAATAGATTGTGTATGGGACTCACCACTGATGCTTATCTGTGTAAACCGTGAAGCCCCAGCTGTAAAAAAATAAATAAAAAAAATTCATTAGATCAAGCAATTGCAAACTTCTTTGTCAGGACAGGTTTGTGAATAAGTCCACGTGAGAGAAAATGAAACAATTGATAAAAAAATTATGACTTCAATTATGATTAAAAAGTTATTGCCCCAAAACATTACCGCACAAGAATTTAACATCACAAACTGATTGCCAGACATCCTCTTCCAGGATTTTAAAACAGAGAGCAGATTTCAACTAGCCTGGGTAGTTAAGGGGGATTTTTCTCCTAACAAATTAAACCAATTGGACTAAATATAATCTGGCTTTAGTGAAACGGGAGGAAAATGCTAATCTTGCACTGGAAGCTGGATTGATGTGAGTTTTCAGTCTCACAACAAATCCATTAATACGTCCATCTCTGAATCACCAGCAGGTCGGACCAATGATATGCCAAGCAGTGTTTTTTAGGGCGTGTAGGAATGATGACAGAAGGGCCTTGCTGGGCAGGGCAATACAAACATGGCTACACTGGAGGACTCACCTGTAGATACCGCAATGGACTCGGTATTAGATCAAATCTGACGGGATTTGGAAAAAGTTTGATTTATCAGCTTATGAGACATCCAGATTTGCTGCTACGATTGGCTGAAAGCGTACTATGAAGGGTTGGTACTAGCTGGTACGTCACCCAAACAGCTCGAAGTATTGCCTTAAATGTCCCTCCTTTTCACGGACAGCCTGAACGGCAGCCATCCCAGATTGATAACGTAGAACTCAACTCAGTTCTACAAATATCAATCTGGCTACTGCCAGTTCAGGAAATGATGCAGAAAAACCATTTTTAGCTAAATATGTGCATTTGTGCACCACAGTATAAACACAAGAAAGTAAGCATATAGGCTAATTTTAAGTATTTTGAAGTGATGTCTGGAAGTAACATGTTTTGGAATGTTATCCAATCAGGGCTCTATTTTCTTGCTGCCTAAGACTAAAACCTCAACAGGGATTTTTTTAAATCGACTAACCCCCAGATTCCATATACTCCGTCAGCACTCCGCTCACTTACGTTGTTGAGAGTACTTGTCTGTCATGCTAACCAATGAGAACTGTTCCACTCCGCTCATCACTGTCCACGTAGGTCTTTTACGTCCGTCACTGTCAAAATACCGAGCCAAGCTATTTTTTGCTCCACTAATTTATAAATGTTTTAAATCCGGCTGGGTCCCGATTTGCCAGCAGGTGGGTCAAGATCCAGGCAGCGGTCTGCTAATCCGTGACCTCTGCTGTACCGTTACCAAAGCACTGCATAAACTCCCTTTGATTCTGAACTATTTAACAGGCAGCATTTTGGACACTTGGTAGGAAAATAAACAGTGCCACTCAAGATACAAATGATTTGTCAGTAGTGATGTTCGAGATCGGCCTGTTTTTCAGTGTAGTTCTGTTTCTCTGACTGTGACTGGCTAGATGTGCTCTCTTCATCCTCTGACATGGGAGCTGGCTCAGAGCGCTGCTTCTGTCTCCTTGAACCCCTCTCCACTGTCACTACAAGCTTGCTTATTGTGATGGGTTTGCATTCGAGTCAATGAGTTGATGCAATCCACTGGTTTTACTTGGATAGAAAACTTTGAATCAATTTGACTGTATGATCTGTTGTAATGTTGTCTAATATTGTTTGTAATGTTATTTTAAGTTTACCTTAATTAATAAGCTGATCAAGTGTGTATTCATTATAATACGGCTTGTTGAAGTGGTGTTATAATGGCCCCTTACTACGTTTCATAGTGTTTAAATCAGCACATGGGCAGTTTGAATGTAAAAGACCACTTTCCAGTGCTCTTGAAACCTTCGCAGCTGTAAATGAAATGAGCAAAGGAGCAGGGGGAGAACAAAGCAAAAAAAAAAATAAAGGGCAGATATTGAGAGGCTGCAGCCTCCAGCACAAATCCTGTGAGCTAAGGCAGCCGATCCAACAACGCTCACACACCGAACACTCCCTAATGAGGTATTGAAGCGCCGCTTCTCCTCACCCTCTCACCACTACTCTCTCCATTTTCCTCAGCACTCTGTCTTTATTTCTTTATTCACCGTAATACCTCTCCCACAGCCCACTCAACATTACACTTATGATACCACGCTGCTTCATCCTCTCGTTTCTGTGCCTCTTTGCTTCCCAGTCCTTCCCTCTTATCCAGTTTTTCTTCCCATGGAGCACTTTAGACAACCACTCACTGGACTCATTTTTCACACTTTCCCTGACTCAGAAAATTCTGTCATGAAGAAAATTATGAGGAATAATAAATAAGTAATGTGATTTATGGGGGTATGGCTTCCTAAAAAATCCCTCTTATCTATCCACCGGAACAGCTGAAGCTTTGGTATGTTTCATTAATTATAAGAAAAGATGAATGCCATTTTTTAGCATTTTTAGCAATTCACCAAAACAATGAACTGAATTATTGCTGCAATGGTTTAGGATCTAAAACCAGGTTAAGTCTGATTTGATGCCTCTCGCTGAGAAAAAGTGTATCTAAACTTCTGCACTTGTGAGTGGGAATCAGTCACTATCTGGTGGATAGAGGTTTGACAAAATGTAAAGAGTTTCAATAGTGTTGATTGCCATTCTTGTGGTTTCAAGTCAGAGCAAGAATAGACTGAATACTAGAGTTGCCAAAGTTTTCTCTTGCTGCGTGAAGCATATAGTAACTACTGTCAATCTCCCACCTTTTCCTGTCCACTGCTGGGCAGCTAGACATAGTATGCACACTAATCCATCACTATTATTCATGAATACTCTTCCTCAACTAAGTTTGCAGGCTAATAATAGCATGTCTTTTAATCAGCTGACTGGAAGCTCCACCAAAGCAGATCATTTCAAGACTGCCAACTGTTACTGCATTCACTGCAAAATCTAAATAAGTAATTTTTTTCTTATAAGAAATGTATTAATTAAGAAATGTATACTTATTTCTAGATTGTTTTTGCAGTGTTAACTTTTGATTTCACACTGCAAAACGATATAGAAATAAGTAAAAATGTCTTAAATCAAGTATATTTACCTTTAATTTGAGTAGGTTAATAAGATGATTTACTAATGGAACGAGTACTTTACTCTTAAAATAAAATAATTCGATAATATGCACTAGAAATAAGACATGCACATTTTTTTTTATTTTAAATGTAAATTGTTTTGTTCCATAAGTGATCTCACCTACCTCCTCAATTTAAGAAAAATTCACTTATTCTAAGAGAAAAATACTTATATAGATTTTATTTTTTGCTGTGCAAAAGGTGATAGATCTATGCACTTACAAACAAAAACAAAATACAAAAAACTTAAAGAATAATAGACTTGCTTACTTGGTGTTCAAATGAAATCAGAACTACGTAAGCTAATGGTCATAGTCACCACCCTAAAAATCCAAGCAAAAATATATGTAACTTAACCAAATAAATATTTAAAAGCCTATAAATTCAAATATCCAATCCAGCCTTATTCTTAGAGCACTGTACCACCAGAAAGAAAGTGCTGTACAGATTATTTCAGTTTATTTCTAGTTGTGTAGTGTTTTAGTAGACAGATTTATTTGTGTCTGAAACCCCTTACTTATTACTGACATGATGCATTTCCAAATAGCTTTGATAAAAATAACCTGCTTTTTCAAAAAATATATTTTTTCTTTTGTATTCACAGAGATTATAAAAAAATTTCCTGTTTGCACTCAGACATTAAAAATCCCTCTGTTTTCACTTTTAAAGAAGTTGATGCTCTACTTCAATAAAGACCAAGCGTCCCTACGTGTGTCTGTCTAACAGACTGACTGCTTGGTTTCTAAGCAACAGAAAACCATATTCTGTTCTTTATTGGAGATATTGTTGATACCATCCAACATGAAGAGGCTTTTAGCCTAAAATCCTAAAACTTTCACAGCAGTCAATCACATTTATACTGAAAACTGTTGATTTGGACTAAATTAAGTTTAAATTCTTTGGATTAAGAAGGAAAAATAAATATCATGTTCTGGTTTCTCGGAAAATACTCCTCATGAAGACTTTTCTTTCTCTCACTGCGCTCATTCACGTCACTGTATGTACATCTGGAATTTTAATTAGCTTAGAATCGTTTAAAAAGATGTGTCTTCTAAAGAAGATTAAACCCTCAAGATCTTTGCCATTTTACATCAAGAATTGTTATCCTTAAACTGACTGCAAGTCTTTTACAAAGTGTTGAACACCGATTTACTTCAGAGGGACTCTCCCTCGCTTGGATGTTCTTTTATTCCCCCTCACGTTACTGACACGCTGCAAATTTTCTTAATTATTTGTGAAATGTTCCACAGGGCTTCTTTTGAACCTCACACAGTTTAACCATGCCTTTGCAGGCTTTGTTACAGACGCTTCTGATCTTTGCTACTAGCATCAAATCCCACATGAGAAGACAAAAGCTTACAGGTTCAATTTGTTTTCTTTGTGCCATTTTAACCAGATATAGATGTTTCAATATTTTCTGTTTTTAGTAAACACATGGTTTCTTTTTTTTGTGAGAACTAAGGCAACTAAAAGATGATGCTAATTTTGACAGTGGATATTTCACTTCAAAAGACGTTACTCCAATCTTTTTTCAAACCGATGTTTAAACAGAGACTAAATAACATAACAGAAACTTGGATCTGCAATCTATTGTATAGAAAAGGCTCTTTTTAATTAAGTCCCTATTTTTGCACATGCATTTTACTTCTCTTTATTTTGACTCTTTTGAGATCAGGCTCTAAGTCTAATATATAATTAACCTTTACAGATGGTACCAATCAATGTGACCGGCACCTAAATACATCAACAACATGACAGTACAGCTTTCATTAAAGTTATAATTAGCCACCTTACCATTAAAACACTTGTTTTATTACTGTCAAAAAGCTAAATTTGTACATGCTTATTTTTACATCAATTAAAAGAAGCATTCTGCCACCAATCGCTGACCTTCAATTTCTCTTGAAGCACCTTATTCAAAATCTACATGTTGATATAGTTACTGTGAATGTCAAAATTATCTACCTAGAATAGTTCCAGCTTCATTTCAGCCTCTCCAATTCACATTACACAACATTCAATACAACAGATGCAACTGAGAAAATATCTAAAGATATACACTGCAAAAAATGTAATCTAAATAAGTAATTTTTTCTTTAAATAAGAGCATTTTTTCTTCAATTGAGAAGGTAAGTAAGATACTTTGCCAATGGAACAAGATTATTTACATTTAAAGTAAGAAAAAACTAATGAATAACCTTATTTCAAGTTTATATAATCTAATTATCCTATTTTAGGAGAAAAAAGTCCACTGGTAAATCATCTTTACTGCCTGCTCAAATTAAGGGTAAATACCCTTCATTTTTCATCAGACATTTTTACTTATTTCTACATCGTTTTTGCAGTGTATTCAGCCATTCATTGAATGATTTTAATACTTACTTGGTCGGAGGTTTGAGCTTTTTCTTCAGGCCAAGGTAACATTTTGCCATCTTCAACTGAATCTCCTTTTCAGGTTTAGTGTTCTGCATAAAAAAAAGAGAGAGCACAGACAAGAAGACACACAATAAATGTTCCTGCACAAAAAAATAATATAAATCTGGGTAAAAAAGCATATAATGCTCAACTAAAACAACCAAATAAGAATCACAGAAAAGGCAGCAATCAGTTTGAATCATTACTAGCAACCTCAATCTTCTAACTTCCAAAGAACAAAGTGAGGGAGAACAAAGCAAACAAAAATCAAAGTTCTTGTTTGCTTCTGACACCTACACATCAAAACCCACACCCCGCTCTCTCCATTTCATCCTGCATAATTTGCACTAAATACAGACCTGGCAATAATTGCAGAGGCCAAGGAATATCAATTAAATTGCAGTAACACTTCTAATTTACCTTGTGTTTATGCAGTAATTAGCCACATTCGTTTGCAACCTTATATTTAGAGAAGCTTGCAAAGCATGGACCCCCTCCCACACCCCAACCCCACACACGCACGATTTTGCCTCCTACCTACACACACACCCTCCCACCCTACAGGCAGCCCCTCCATCAATTATTAACACATCTTCACACTCCTTTACGAATCCCATGTTTCAACTGTAGAAATGTGCTGAGAAGAAAAGGCCTCCAGGGAACTTGATCCTGCTGGTCCTCTCTCCCTCTCTCACATTCTGCATTCTTTCTTTTTGTTTAAGAAAAGAGAGACAGAAATATGGAGCCTGCTGCTATCAGTGTGTTTTATTTTTCTCTGTAATTTAAAAATCCAAAAGCTGCAGAGTACGCTCAGGGACATATGAAAAAGATACAAGGGATGTCACTGAGACTGGCTGGGTTTGGGTCTATTAGGGTGCAGTGATGTATGCTCCACTGTAACTCTTGTTTTTTTTTTTTTGGGGGGGGGGGGTTTCCACTAAGAAGCTTCTAAACCTTTTTGTCTTTTATATTTCCCTAGGATGTCAGCCCTCGCTGTTCCTCTAAAGGACTGGTATTTGCAAGCAAGAAAAGCCCAATTGGTTAAATGTCTTTACTAGGGTGATGTGACAGTGCATAAAGCCAGAACTAAAAAAAAAAAAAGAAAAAAACTTACTTTGATATCTCTGTAAAGAAGCAGCTTCTCTGAATGAAGCACAACGTACTTGTCCTGAAATTTGTGACCCGACAGCAGTTTGGTGGATCCATCGCTGAACTTAAGATAGTCACTTTTTAGAAACTGCCTTGAGTCTGTTGAAACAGTTATTGTTGCATAACATGAAAAAAAATGAGTATGATGATTTAAAGTGTATTGCTTACATATTAACATCTCTGGAATGTCATACTTTTAATCTCAATTTTATGTGATTTTATGCATAATTGTAAAGTGGATTGAAATTGATAAAGGGTTTTTAAAATTTTCACCAAACTAAAATCTGAAAGGAATTTCCTGCATTTGTGATAAGGACCCATAAGTCAATACGTTGTAGAGTTAAGCTTTGGTGAAATAACACTTGCAAGTCTTTCTGAATGTGTCACTACCATCATCAGGCAATTAGTGTCTAAAATCTTTGCTACAAGAAGTCAGATTTAATAAAGAACTAAGTAAATATAAATTGTCAAGCCTTTGCTTTGGGAAAAATTATTCCATTACTGCTCTTGCTGAAGATTTGCGGTTGCAGTTTTTGCAACCATTTAGAGGTTCTATTCCAAGACGGACGATCCTATCTGTGGTCATATCTACACTGCAAAAACTTTGGGAAAATGAGCACAAATGTCTTAAAATAACTGTATTTATGCTTTGAGTAGGAAAATAAGATGACCTGACAATGGAATGGGCTTCACACCTTTAAAATAAGATAATTAGATATTATGGACTTGAAATAAGGGAATGCAGTTGTTTTTCTTATTTTAAATGTAAATCTTATTCCAAAGTCTCTCCTGCTCAATTCAAGAAAAAAATGCTCTTATTTTAAGAAGAAATACTTACTTAGATTCCCATTTTTTGTAGTGTAAAGACCGATTAAATCTACACCCAAACTATAATGTTCCTAACCCCATGTTTTAGTAGAGATGGTGCATCGAGATGCAGAATTAGAATTTTCCTTACTAAATTTGGCATGCAGCCCCAAACTGTAATGGGAACCTCCTTTCAAATGGACCCTTGGGTAATTTTAGAAAAAAATGTGCACTGCTTTTCATATTGCTTTTCTTCTTCTGCAGTTTTAAAGAAAGTATTTCCACAATTGCTTCATAACTTTTGGCTAAAATTCACCCTTTTACAGCAGTAGCCATTCAAAATGTCCCCACTTTCCTTGACGGGCCCTTGGCTGGTCCCCTATAATTCCTTTTTAAACATAAATGTTTGTACTAAAATATTCTGTCATGATTTATGGACATTAAGATCTAAGGAGAAGTGTTGTGTCCTTTAAGTCAGTGAAAGGGTGCAGTCAATATAAAAAAAAATGTTGGGTACATGAAGGGGATTTTGCTGGGAGTTGCAGGGAAGTGGGCTGCCATTCGGCTGGTGTTCGACTGGTAAGGGACCGTTTTTAATGGCTGCTACTATAGCATTGCTTTAGATAAATATAAAGTTGTATTTCATTATTACATGCTTAGGTTTTCATTATTACATGCTAGTAGTAATAATTTATAATTGAATATTTGCATACATACATTTTACCTTTATTCAAGATAGCAGTTGATCTGAATAAGTAACACATTTCCAGTGTATTTATTGGTTGGAAATAGATTGTAAATTACTTTACTATCCATTCATCAAATGTAAAAATAAATAAATAAATAAATGTAAAAATTGCAATATTTTTTTGATTAATTTTGTTACCGGTAATTATTAATACCAATAAGAAACATTTATAAGTAACGCCTGCATGAGTATTAAATGAATAATCTTTATTGCATGAAGTTCAATTGACAGGACCTTCCTGACATTATTCTTTACCTTTTCCTCCGGCCATTCTTTTGGCCCCTGCAAATTTCTTTAAAACAAGAAAAGCTGAACTTGGGCAGTCCAAGGCACTCCACTCCAACACTTGTTCAAGAATATTTTCTTTGTGGTGCAGCGGTCGCTCTGTCAAAAGAAAATAACAGGTCTTGCGTTATTGGTAAAATCAGCAATTGAAAAGATACTGTAAATGCGCGAAGCAATGCAAAAGATCAAAAAACAACAATAAAGCCATTTTATTTTCTGGCCTTGCCTCAATTCGACATGCATGGCACCCATCCACACCCAAGATGAATGCATGTAAACCAAATAACATTATGATCTTGTTGTTGCTCCTATTGTCATTAAAGAGCAGTTTAAATTATCTACAGCATATCAGGAGCTGATTATAAAAACACACTCATGTGAAAAATAGACCTATTATCTCATCCTAATTGGCGAACAGGGTGCATGCTGTCAGCCAAAAAAAGCAGATAATTTGTGTACTACCTCCTCTGTTCTGATGCTTCCATTTCTACACCCCCATGTTTTTCATAACCAAAGGAGGTAAGAAGAGTCACAGTGGCATAACTTATTAATAACACAGAGCTTATCTTAGAGCTGGAATCTCTACAGACCCAGGCCACAGAATTAGTTCCTCTTTTCCAACAAATATTAGCTTACCCCCTTTTTTTTTCCTTTCCATTGTTCTCGTTAACTTTGTTTATCTGAAGCTATTCACAAAGACTACTACTGTAATTAATACACTGCCGCTTTCCTCTTTGTGGCTTTACGAGCAGAACCTGTCACATTGCAGCCTTCATAAAAGCTTTAATGTTTACTCTACCTTAGAGGAGCAGATTTTCCTTGAAATATATTTGAAACTGTCAGCAAATATAAAAATAAATAAATTTTGTGTTCAGCACACCTTAGCTGTTAGAAGAGGACGGCATGTCCTCTGGAACTTTGCGAGAGGGAAAATAAGCATATGAGCAAGGTGTAAACTCCGAGTGAACTGATGAAAAGCGCACGGGGGATGGCTGAGCTAAGCAGCTTTGCGACAAATCTGACTTTCCCGGTTCCCTGATTCTCTTCTATGATCAAATGGCTAAGTGTGAAGCACAAGGAGCTGTCATTGCCTATTAATGTGTGATGAGGTGGGTCAGCTCTCTAGGTCGATCATGCAGGAAAGATGAAGTTAATCTATGGCAGATCAAGACACTGATGATTAATTAATGCGCATATAATCAGACCAATGGTGCTCAGATAATTTCTGTGTGCCGCCACATTCACAGACACCGGTTCATTAGAGAGATAGCATGATCTAAGATAGCATGGTCTCCTATTCGCAAGGCCAACTAATGGTGGTCTGTTCTTTGCATGAGTCCTGCAACAAAATGCCAAGCAAAAATGGAAATTGACACTAATTGGTTACAAAGCAGACCACAGGAGAAAGTTTATACCACCTTATTAGGTAAGCAAGGGGTTTTAATTGATGGAGCCTGAATTCATTACTTTTAAACATAAAAAAAAATTTAAAATTATAACAGGCTGTGATTTATCCAGAGAAAATACATGCAGTACATCATGGATGGATGCATGCATGGATGGAAGAATGGATGGATGGAAACACACTTAAGGCCATTCACAGTTTAAATTTACTTTAGACTGCATTTTGGTGCATTTAAAGGGATTCTCAACATTAAGGCCATTAAAATTGCTACCTGTTAGCTTAAGGCTGTATTACCTAAGGCGGGTCTTTATACATGTACATGGTCTATATATGCACCCTCCTCTCTTATGCTTCAGAAAATGAAAAAGTCATCAACACAGTCGCCAACAAAGTCCCAAACACAGCATCCTCGGATCTACAGATATTTAAAATGATCTTTACTTGTCCTCCACTCCCCCAACCTTGACCCAGAGTATTACCTGCCATATTGAAAACAATACAAACTCTTAGCTTATTACCTTTCCATATGTTGGGGGGCTTCGATTCTAACCTGGTTAATCTCTAGTTTCTATATAAACCAGTTGTACACAAAGAAACATTAGTGAGACGCACAGTAAGGAGAGCCCAGTCTCAATTGCTGCTATACCCTTTCTCTCTGACAACTACCAGAGAGACAACTACTTAAATTCATCAGTCTGAACCAAGGGAAAGTACCACAGCTTTGGAAGACCACCTGTGAGATATCAGCTGCTAAGAAAACACACCTTATTGACCTCAGCAGCTACAGATGGGTGACTCACATCTATTGAAGATCCCTAAGAGGTTGCTTTTTAACCCTCTTAACCCCCTGGTTAGTTATTTTTTTGGATCATCTGCTTTCTGCCAGCCCAGTGTTACAGGAGACGGCATTGAACCAAGCTATTTGCATCTTTTCTTTTTCAATTAGTTTTGCAGTAATGTGGATTACAGATTTTCTCACTAGTCAAAAAGGCACAAAAGCGCTTTTACTTCCTGAGGAGGATGAGGAGAGCCCACCTGCCCCCACCCATCCACACGACCTTCTAAAGATGCACCATAGAGAGCGTTCTGACCAGCTGTCTCACTGTGTGTTGTGGAGGCTGCAGCGCCTCAGACTGGAAGAAGGTGAGAAGAGTGGTGAGAACAGTAGAGAAGATTATTGATGGTCCTCTTCCCTCCATAGAAAGACATTTCATCACAGCGCTGCGTGTCCCATGCCCGTAACATCATCAATGACCCCTCACACCACCACCATGGACTGTTCTCCCTGCTGCCCCCAGGGAAGAGGCTTTGCAACATTTGATCCAACAGATTCTGCAACAGTTTCTTCCCCACCACCATCCGACTGCTTGAACTGTTGAAAAAACTCTAAATCCCATCAAGGATTCTGCATCACACTGATAACACCAAACCAAAAATACTGCATATTTGCGGCAAATATATTAATGCTCTGAACTTCCATATCAATGCGTTTTTTTCCACCATGTTTTTTTCTCCCACACTGTTTACATTTCATCACTGCTGCACTTTGTGGAATGGAAATGTTCATTTACTGTCTGAAAAGCTGTACTAAAGGAAAACTCTGTGTATACAAAATGACAATGAAAGTTGTCCAAGTCCAGACCCATAATTTGGGCAGAGTCAGGACCTGATGTCATGCAGGATGATCCATTGCAGGTTGGGTGTTTGATTCGTGTAGTGAATTGGTATAACACATCTGAACTGTTTTGAATAAGTTTTAAAACATATTACATCTCATTTTAAATTCAACATTAACTTTGGTTCTAAAACATTAAATCCATACTGAACTGTGACGTCATTAAACACCGTTTTAGTTAAAGGTTTTCACCCACTTTCAGTTATCTCATTTCCTTCCATGGTTGTTGCTAAAGACTTTTACATCCACAATGGACTTAGTCCTATTTTATGACGTAGTTTCATTGTAGCAGCTGCTTGTGCGCAGCTGAGGGGAGGGAGTTCAATAAGCTCAACCAGAAGGCCAGCTTTGTCTTAGGATGCCCTCAACCCGGTGCAGGCAGTGGGAGACGGAAGGACTCTTCCGTATTTACCATAGTATTCAACAAAATCTTCCACAACATTCATGAATGTGGTGCAGAATTGGAGAGCTCCTTAAGTGCACGTTATGTTGACAAAGGACTGTTATTGCGGATCCCTCCGCCAAGCAGCTGTTAAGACTTCATAACATCACTTCTCCTAAAAAAACCCCGAAACATATTAAATTATTTAATGTTCCCCCTTTTTTTTCCAATCCCTTTTTAATATTAAAAGATGCATGCAGAGATTGCTAAATTCTCTTAATTTTTCGATAAATCCAAGTATGCAGTTCTTACTGTATTCAATGTATACTACATCTCTGACATCACCCAGCAGTAAGGTATGACAATAAAATCATTGTTAACTTATTATTACAAGTCAACCATGTTTATACATTCTAACTAAAGCTATGACGTTTTAAACTTCAAAAGTTTTAAATAACAGTTAATAAATCAAGGCTGCCTCATATTAAAAATAATATAAGGCAGGAGGCAAGCCTGCTGTCACTGACAACATGTTTTGGCATTGACTAAAATTCCTTGGCCCAGGTTTCAGAACGAAACAAAAGAAAGGAAAAGTTCATGCAGGGTTTCGGGCGAGAAAACAGCAGGAACTGACAAAATGAATCATGAAAGTGTTCTAGTAATTATATTCTAGCTGCAAAGAGCAAAGAGGGCTATCGGAAAAGAAAGCTGTGAATGAACACTATTATAAGAGTACAGTGCAAAGATTTTTCAGATGTTAATCTGAAAAGCAATTGCAAGAGCTGATGCTGATTGATGAGACAAATTTGAAGAGACGTGACACAAACCTACTTATTCAGTGGAATGTAAAAAGGCTGGTGTTTATCAACATGAAACGTTTTCTGATCAGATACATTTTAAAATTATATGAAGATGACCTAATACAAAATTCAGTTATCTAATCATTAAATAAAAAAAAATAGAAATAAGCCTTTATTACTGGTTTTGTTTAATCTACATTTTCACTGATTTCTACTTTCAACAAAATTTGGTAATCTGAAATTAATTAATTAATCCTTTACACCCTTAGGGAAGAGCAGAATTGGTTTAAGTAATATATGATTGGGTATCTAATTCAAACTCCAATCAGATTTATATCTGGACATAAAATGACCATATATTTCCCCCTTTTCCCTCTTTTTTTAATTAAATTTGTTCTTCTTGGGTCATCAGGGTACTAGCCTTGTTACTCTCCGATGGATGATTTTTTTTCCCAGTTTCTTTCTGAATAAGGAGTCCTCAATACAGACACTGACTGAGAGAAAAATGCTTTAGAAGTTGAAATTTCTGGGGAAATTTGGTTTTTCATTCCTGGAAAGATTCGTCCCATGTTTTCTCCACGAATAGAGAAAACATGGCTTTAGAAATGACTGTAATTCTTTTCAGACTGATGGATGTCAATGACTCATTTGTCCTCGGCCTTGAAATCTTTCAACTGGACATAAAGCACCGGAATTGGAACGGCAAACTTTGTTTTTTTTAGAAAAATTCCATGCAGCTATAGGTCCAAGTTGAATTCAATCATTTTTATTTTTGTTTAAAGTAAAATAAAAATGAAAATACCTTTATATTTCGTTAGGTTGGTTGCCTAACATTAACATTGTTTTGAATCAGATAAATCCAAGTGGATAATAAAGAACAATAGAAAATAATTTTTGAGAAAGGTGCTGAAATGTTTTTTCTTTTATTCTACTATGTTTATAGTTAAGGGTGGTTTGGATACATCATTTGGTGTTAGTTAAATATATGTAATGGAATTGTTTTCTTCTTCTTCTATTAAACTAATTTGGATTACACTATCATTAATCTGAGTCTGATTCTACTGCTCCAATTGAATTTCCTTTTTGTTCTTTTTGATCGGCAGTGGGTTTTATTATTTCAGCAAATTAATATAATCCTTCATTAAGCCAAGTAGTTTTTTTGCTCCTCTTTCTATATCCTTTTTACTTACCATAACTGAAAGAAACAAAAAAATGTGACAAAAATCTTTTTAAGCAGAAAAAGTACTTCTATCACTGTTTGTATGAAATTCATTTTAAAAGGCAGGAATTACATCTTTTTACCTAGTTCTCCATTTTCGATAACTTCAAAGGTGGTCCACATGTCTTCTGCCTTAAATGTGCAATTTCTCATACTCAGCGCAGCTTCTGCAAGTTCTGAAGACCACATACTTGGAGAAAGCTATCACAGGGGAGAAAAATAAATTGTCACAAAGAGAAAATATGCTAAAAACACATTGTTTTATGCAAAGTTATTCATTGCAAATGACATTCTAGGGTAAAAATATACCTGTCTGAACAGTAAGAAAACAGCCAACACACCTTTTCCTGCTGCTTTTATCTGAACCTCAACCCTCTTAAGGTTTGCAGCAAACTTAGAACAGGAGTCTGTGACCTTCAGCTGCCAGCACCACTTGTAAAATGCAATTACTTGCACAATTTAAGCAGATTTATTTGATTAGTTTGTGTCTGATTCGTTTCAGTGGCGGTAATCCCACCAGGTTAAACCACCGATGTCTCAGCCTTGTTCTATGAACCTCCATTTCTTGTTCAACCCACCCTTTTCACCCTTAACAACCTCCATCTCCTCTTGCACTTTTACTTTTCCCCCTTTTTACTTCAGGGCATTCTGAAAGCAACAGCCTATGCATAAGATACACACACTCACCTTTATTAAACAGCATTGCTCTGGCTCTCGCCTTTCAAGGTACACCTCGAAGATCAAATCCCCCGCTGGACAGAACTGTAGAGGAACAAGGTAAAAATAAATATATATATAAATGTTTAGTCAATTTTTTCTGTTTTTAACAAATGACATCTCAAAAGTGCTAATATATCATAACAGAGAACAGTGAGAAATAATTATTTCAAGTAATTGTGGAGACCCAAGATGTTTGTTTGCCATAGCAGTAAAATAAAATGTAGTGTTAATAAAAAGCATAACCTGACAAAATAAAGAGACCATGTGTGAGATGGAAACACTTAGAAGTTAGAGGCACCGGTTTGTTCTCATATTTATAACACAAATAAAATACTTAACATAAGTAGACTTTTTAGTTAGCAAATTTAAAAAAAAGATTTCGAGGGCACACCTGAACAGTCTTTGTGTGCTACTTTAGCAATGATTTATAGCATGCATTAGAAAAGACTCTTAGTATTTGTAGAGAGGAAGGTTAAGTGCCAGAATGGGCTCTGTGGTCCAAGAGGACCCTCAGGAAGAAACAAAACTCATAAAAGTAAAAAGAAGCATAATGTAATTTATGAAAATTGCTATTCTATTAAAAGTATTCTAGCAAATTATAGCATGTTCAAACTGTTAAAGGAGTTAAAACGATGTGAATGCTAATGCAACCACAAGCAGCTCCAGTTCAATCAGAAAATACGGTGTCCTGATGCGCCTAGAGCAAAAGGAGCATGTTGAGAGCATCAGATAGGTAGATAAAGGTTTAAAGTTAAGAAAATATTTTCAGTGACAAACTGGAAACAAATCTTGAAAGAAAAGGCCTTTTTACCATTTGACAAATAATAATAACAAATCACTGTAGTGTCCTTTGGCAACAGACTATGAATAAGCTGGGCGAAATATTTCGGATGAAAAATTAAAATGTGAAAAAAAGGTGCCTGCAAATATCTGGACTTTACCTTAAACCCTAAAAATAAATACTTTTCAAAAAGGCTGATTGAATCAATTTTCACATTTTCAAGCTTGTTTGCTTGAAAACCCTGTTTGTTTTTACAACAGATATCTAAAAAAAAAAAAAAAGCTTTAATAAAATTTGAATGAGAAAATGAGAAAAACGTTATTTATCCCAAAGGGAGGTCAGATGTGGTTCTAACTCACATCATAAGGGTTTCTTCATTGTAGGTGTTTATAACTGTAGGAGGGACAGATCTCTTGTAGCATGCCTTAATTGCAATGTTTCCCTCCAGTCCTCATGTGAATTTTAAACTTCTAAATGTGTCAACTTAAAAAAAATATGAATTACACATGTTACTATCTGGTTTGGAATTAATTTAACATCAGTAATAGATCAAGATTTAAATTAATTTGTAGCAATAACATCAGCTACTATTGAGGATATGGCATCCAAAGACGTTAGGAAAGAAATGCAAGTCTAATGCTTGGATTCAGGACACCAGCAGCGGAAACAGTTGATCAAATATGTGACATAAAGGTTTTCTTCATCTGAACTTATTCCACAAATGTGCTTCCATCTTCTTTATAGTGTATAAACTCATTTTCTAAAAGGACAACGTTTTCCAACATTTAGTAAGTTGATTCAAAGTTGCCATTTCCATAAACTAATACAGTTGAAATAGCTCAGGGAAACAAAAGCTCATTCCGATCCAAACATTTCTTTTTTTTATTATTATTACTGATATATACAGGGATACAGATGCATCAATCTAGTCCCTACAATTGTTTGCAACCCCAGTTATTTCATAATGCACAGCAGAGAGTGCTTTTTACCCGTGTTTGTTTCATTTCTTTAACAAGGTTTATTTCAACTGATGCCTTTACTCACGGGTAAATGGTTCATTCTTTGAACAGCAGTATTGGATTGTATCGAGTATTAGCCGATATGCTCATCCCAGATATCAGTATCAGATTTGATCTAGGGCTGAAACAATTAATCGGAATTATCATGATTAATTGATTATTGAAATAATTCTCCAATAATAAATGATTAATTGTTAACGGAGCATAGAGATTCTAAAAGATACATTTAGCTGATGGAGCAACCCACTCAGAGAGGTAATTATATGAAAATTGTAAAAACTATATATAAATATTTTGCATTTAAGAATAAAAAAAATGTTTTGTCTGTCAATATTTTCTACCCAGAACTCCTCAAGCAGAAACGTTTTAGTTTCACTTGGTTTAAATCTGTAAAAACTCTTCTTCAAGGGACCATTTCCTATCTGTTTATTACTCGGAAAAAATAACCTACAGATTAACCGATATGCTAAATAATAATTAATTGCAGCCCTAATTTGGTCAGAAAAAACTGGATTAGCGCATCTCTTGCTTTAGCTGATTTTTCCAGGAATATTCCTTGGTCTTTCTATCTTTCACTTAGCTCACACTGGCCTCCCTCCTGACCATCTTTGGTAGGTGTGTGTCTAGGGTCAACAAGGACACTAGTTTCCACCCCTATATTGATTTGGCTGGCTCAAAGTGTTGCCTTAAGCTGAATTTATTGTTGGCCCCTCCTTCTGTTAAATGAGCAATAATAAATAATTGACTATGTTAGACAGAAATTACTAAAATAAGTGGAAAAATAAAAGTTCCTTTTTAGATGGAATGTATCTCTCTGTGTTGTACTCCTGTTTCATGTTTACATGTTGGTCTACCTTGTTCTGCATGTACATGAATATCAAGAGCTGCCCCTCAGGTTCTCCCTGCCTATAAAATGACACCATCAGAGCAGTGTCAGGTAGGAGCAAAATGGCAGAGGGAAAGTCCAGTGGATTGAAACGTTAACCTGAAGATGATCACTTGCCAAGATAAACTTCTTTTCCTGACAAAATGATAAAGTTATGAGGGACTCACTTCTTCACAAGACATCTTTCAATTAAAGGTGTTGCTGTTTCACTGCATATTTATTCTTTGCAAATATGCACAAATGAGCGACAGGTAAAAAAGGAAATGGGGTTGCAGCGGGATTTGGGGGAAATAGAGGTGTCCTTTCTTCTTGAGGTCTACAGACTCTAGGTGGGCAGTTGAGCCCACCTAGTGATGAAATTTCACTTACTGTATTGCTCGGCAGAGAACATTACCACTGAACCAACAACCCTTCGGTTGCAGGGCGAACCACTGCATCCAACACCACCGTCGCCAAAGTTTTTAATACAGATTTAAAAGAATCTGGGGAAGGGGGGCAAGTTTGCATGGCTAAGCTTAAAGAAAAATGCATATAATTGGTTATACTTTATTGAAGTGTATTTATAAACAAACCAAGGGAAAAAGAAGGATATCAAATTTGACTAATCAGATTTTAACAGACAATGATAATACTTTGAGTTTTTGAAAAAGCAGGTCTGGGCAATAAACCCGATTTTCACCATTACTACTATAACTGTTTTTTTATCCAACACAGCTGTAAACGCATTTACATCAGTTAATCCTGTGGAGCTGAGCGATAGCAGAGATGAGGCGGAGCATGCAGAGAAGAAGTCTAGAGCGCGTTGTCAGAGTCAGAGTCTGCGTGCGGCAAAACGGTTTTGAGGTGTGCGAGTTTAAAGATGCACTGTATTCTCACTGCACGCTCAGTTCTGTGGCACCAAACACACACCATAGATGTTGAGCAAACGAACACAAAATGCAAAGTTTATCTGAAAACTGTCGAGACTACCCAAAGTAACATATTGAACCTCCACCCCCTACAGCACAGCCATGCTGTTGAATTCAAAGATGTGCAAAAGGCTCCATTAAGAATTTTTTGCAAGAGAGGTAAGGTTTTCTCCTGCTCAATGAGACATTGTTGAATGTTTTAAACCTGAATGGGTACAAGATGTTAATGATTTAATTTAATTATTAATTTAATTATTTCTGATAGAGGAGCGTGTGTTTATTGTTAGCGAAGTAAAACTGCCCAATTTATCATGATATTGATATGAAGTGATATCAATCAGCTCTAATTCAACACTGAACAAAATTTTAATCTAAATAACATTTTTTTTTTTAAATAAGTGCATCCTTCCATGAATTGATTAGGTAAGTGAGACACTTTGCCAATGGAAAAAGACAATTTCCATTTAAAAAAAGCAAAATATATCTAATTATCTCATTTAAAGAGTAAAATATCTAATTCCATTGATCATCTTATTTATCTGCTTAAATCAGGGGTAAATATCCAATCCAATCCACTTTATTTATATAGCACGATTTAAATAAACACAAGGTTTCCAAAGTGCTGCACAAAAAGATAAAATAACTAAAATAAATAAAAAAAAATAAAATAAAAGCACTGCCCGCACAGGATAAAAATATGCATGTGTATACATAAAATCAACATGTGTATACATAAAATCAACGCTCTACATGGTGTCAAAAGCCAAAGAAAAGAGGTGGGTTTTAAGAAGAGTTTTAAAATGAGACAGAGAGGTGGCCTGTCTAATGTGCAGCGGCAATCCATTCCAAAGTTTTGGAGCTGCAACAGAAAACGCTCGATCCCCTCTGAGCTCAAGCCTTGCTTTAGGCACTGTCAGGAGCAGCTGATCAGCTGACCTGAGAGATTGGCTGGGAGTGTAGGGGTGCAACAGCTCAGAGAGGTAAATTGGGGCCAGGCCATTCAAGGCTTTAAAAGTAAATAAAAGAATTTTAAAATTAATCCTAAGATGGATGGGCAGCCAGTGGAGTGAAGCTAAAATAGGTGACATGTGCTCGTAGTTGTGTGTGCCAGTTAAAAGACGTGCAGCAGCATTTAAAACCAGTTGAAGATGAGCAATTGAGGACCCAGCAATCCCCACATAAAGTGCATTACAGTAATCCAGCCGAGTGGTCACAAAGGCGTGGATTACTGTCTCTATACACTTAATCTAAGAAATGTTGACTTATTTCTTGATCATTTTTTCAGTGAAAACTACTATTATTCTCAATAAATAAATAAATAATATTTTTGACCAATTGTCTATCTTAAGATTCAAGAACTTCTGGTTGGTCCCTGCAGGTTTGGGGGGTGGGGGGGTGGGGGGTCAGGGTCAAGAAGCGTAGTTCACCTATACCTTTCACTAGCTCTGGCATGGGATAGTAATTCATTTGAAACCCCGAATCATGCACTGTGTTCTTTGACATTTGACCAAACTTCTGTTATGAATTAAACAAATTTTCAGTTTTCAAAAACAGGTGAAATTTTAGTTATAACAGTTGACAGATATGAGGTTGAAATTAATAGTTTGGAACTGCAATTACTAAAAGGAACATTATAAATTTCTTCAAAGCTCCTAATGTTTTGTCAAATACAGTCATATCTTTAATGAAGTTATATTTAGTAAAAGGATTCTAAATTTCCAAGGTTCTGATGACTTACTGGGTCTTTTTCTTACCCTTTCCAGAAAATGGAAAACTAAGTGAGCATGAAGGGATTCCTTTTTCTTTAGCTACCTTGAAGTTAAGGTAACATTCCCTTTGTCATTTCAATGGGCAGGTGAAGCGAGGTCCATTAATGACTTGAGCTGTCTTACAATAAGAGGGATAGGCCCCCTTCTGACTCTTATGGCCCTAAAATGACTCAGAAATTACAGTCATTTAAACCAATGGAGCAAAAAGCTGTAATTGTGAAAATGTCACATGCGGATATGGAGCCACGTTGTTACGCTCTGTTCTTTCTCCCTCCTGCTATTCACTTTTGTGTGAAGGCAGAGAGATCTCTTTGAGGCTGCTGAATCTGTGGAGCCGCAAGTGAGGAAAATTAGATTGAATCAAGGCATTTTTGTAGTTAATTAAAACCATGCCCGTGCTGATTGTAAATGTAGGGTATTGATTTTAGAGTCAGTACCAGCTTAAAAGGCAAGACACTGCCTGCACCTCATTATATCACTGATTCACCTACTCCCCAATGTACACCTAGCTATTTTGTCCTTTCAAGGATGCATCTTTGCCAATCCCTGCCTTTAATATAAGGACCTTCGGGACCTTCACCTGCAGAATATGGAGCAGTGAAAAAATAGTTGCTCCCTCATAGATTTCTTCTTCCTTTTAGCCTTTTTGTCTCCCTTAAATCTTTCCGGACATCAAAGAATTGCTATTCCAGACAAAGGCAAACTGATAACATGATCCAACAGACCAATCTTTTTCAGGTAGTACGCTATAGTATTTTAAAAAGGAGCACACCATTAAGCATCCAAAAAATGAAAGAAAGGATTTGAAATCAGGTTATAGACATTCACCGCTCTGGAAAAGCTCTTACAGTATAGCCTTTTTTGTAAGGATTTGGGACTCAAGCTTTCCCATTCTAATTGAAAAGTGGTAAACTATGAATGCCTTCCAAAATTACTGTAAAAGTTTATCATATGTGCTCCAAAATGTTAGAATATCTAAAATACGAAATATTGTTGCCCCTTTTGCTTCTATTAAGTTCAGTGTTCAAGATTAAATAATAAGAAAATTAGCAATAATGGCACCCATTAATGAGTTCAACAGGCCAAAATAATTTTTGCTGACAAAAAAAGAATAAAAATGTAAAAAACATGTTTTATTTGCCAAATACATTTTACTTAGAGCTAGCTGACCCTTCAATGTGCCTTAAGTCATCAAAAAGGGGAAAAAAAGGACACGGGGAAATCTTGGAGTGGATATATAAAACACATCCATATCTAAAAAAAACTGCTTCTTCAAATACTCTCATGTTTTCCTATATTAATATTTACCTCTGCTGCCGACTGTCAGCTTCAGTATTTCTCTATTGCTAAAATAACAATAAATGAAAACAAGATGAAGAGGTAATTAAACCAAAGGTAAAAGTTATTTTATTCCACTGTTGATTTTTGTATCTTTTTTTATGAGGAGAAACTATGAAAAAATGTTTGCCAAGTAGGATCTGAAGTTAAGACAAAAGCACTGTTAGCATGTGCACTCACCACATTGTATGAGGGAGGAAAACGTATGGTGTGCAAAACAAGAAATGTGAAGGAGGAACCGTTAGATAATTTTAGTAGGAGTGAAACAATTATGTTATATTGGTTCAGTAAAGGCTTAAGAGTTTAGAGAAATATTTATAGATTCAATGCCTTCTTTCTGTCCTCTGCCTTTTCCTTCCTTCCTTCCTTCCTTCCTTCCTTCCTTCCTTCCTTCCTTCCTTCCTTCCTTCCTTCCTTCCTTCCTTCCTTCCTTCCTTCCTTCCTTCCATTATAAATGACTGCAGGAAATTAAAATGGAACATTTGTTGTTTATATTGTAAAATGAACATATTGGACTGGAAAGACCACGGATATAAATTTCTATCTCAAGGCTGTTTTTCTGATGAACACTTAAAAGCCATAAAGACGAGATTTAAATATAGAATGTCTGTACATTGAAAGCAGATTATAAGTCAAAGTTCTAGTTTTTTGTGCGCATATCCTCGGCTAATTAGGTCTAGAAAATGATGGAAATATTGCATAAAACATTTTCAAGAACACTGTAAGAGCCATATAGTCAAATGCATTTTTCTGAATTTTTCCATTTTACTGCAACACATCTCCTCACCACTCTCACATGATAAAAGTTTATGAAAATGTAATTTGCCACTCACAGATTTATAAAGGTTGGACTTGCAGTAATTATACATGCTTTTCCATGTATGTCTGAAGCCTATTTAAGCTTTCACATTAAATTGAATTTCAGTTGGTTTTTTAATCACTGATTTTCACAGCTTTACGATTTTTTTTCCCTGCTACCAACAATAAAAAAGTAGAATTTGGCTTCATCTTTTATTGTAGATTTAACTGGAGCCATTATGAGGTTTTATGTTTTATAAAATGCCCTAAAAGTCCACTTTGGTGAAGTTTTGTCTCCTAAAGATAAAATACTTATAAATATGAAAGCTGCCCTTCTGTTAAGAGATTTCGAGAAATGCTGTAAAATTTCGTTTATTAACGGTGTAACTTTTAACTGTTACATTAAATGGGTTTATTTCTTGTGATTTAAAAAACTGGCATCACATATTTAGCATAACGAGCAAAAATGTCTATGAAAATACAACACTGCATACATTGTCAGGCACCAACAAGTCAAATAAAAAAAAAAGGTGAGCATCCAGCATTCGAGAGATTGTGACGTAGTCTTTTACTATGGTTATAGTAAATAACTTTGCTAAACTCTAAGATAATAAAACAAATATTCTATTTCAATATTTGTTTCACTCTAAAGAGTTTGTTTAGGAATCTTTTTCCAGGTTTTATTATCTGTAAGTTTGCATGTCCAAGTTACAGGGTATAATTCTGACTTGTTAAAGCTTACTGTGGCTGTGTGCAGTCATGCAGGTGAGGATGATAAAAGAGGATGAAAGAAAATCCTATATGCCGATGGGATCATGCATCTTATCTAAGGTCTGAAACACTGATAGCGACTGGTATTAAAAAACAGCATTGTCCAAAATATGAGGAAACCCTGTGTTCAGCTTCTAACCAACAAACAAGGGCACCTCAACACCAACAGAAATAACACCTAAAAGCAAGTGACAAAGGAAAAGAAAAGTAAGATGATTAATGTACCAATAAATTAGTCAGAGTATCTCTTCAGCATGCAATTTTATCCCCAAGATATAGGCACACAACTGCATTAACTTAATGTAATATAAATGACACAACCTTTATCTTTCTAGAAATCTAAATAACTTGAAATATCAAAATGAAAAATAACATTCCCATTTTAAAATGTATTATTTCAACACAAAAACCTAAACACCCATCTTAGTCTGTGCAGTTGACTCACAGACTAAGATTGTGGGGGCAGAAAAACCTTCATAAACAGCTCCATTCGTATTTCAGTGGCACCACGGGATTTAATTTTCCACTAACTTATTTAAACCAAGAGACTTTTTTTCCCATCATTCAGGCATAAAGTACCTGCTGTAAAGGTCAACGAGAACAAAATCCCGGCTTCTGTTCCCTTTGCATCCCCTGCTCATTTCTGCTAGAAAAAACAACAAGAGAGCGACGAATCCTACATCTGAGTCCCCTGTTGCATGCAGACAGAACTATGTGCACACAAAGCTACACACACATACACACTAGACGCTCTTGAACATGCATTTCTGTAAGGGTTGTGTGGGTCGACTTACCGCTGTGTCCTTTTTTTCATTCCAGCGGATGATGAAGCTATTCTCTGTCTCCATCTGTTGCACCTGCTCTTCATTGACCTGTTTGAGACAACATAGAAACATATCAGCACACACAATTGGACACCCCCCCTAAACACACACAAAGTCAGCCTGTAGTTGTATAATATTTCCTTTAAATGTAATACATTGGCAATTAATAGTTTATTAATTTGTAAAGTTAAATGAAAAGAGGACAACAATTTTTTAAATAAATCAGAACTTTAATTGGAGAAAAAAATTTGATCCGCCCCTCTTTTACTCCGACAACTCTATGTAAATTCCAGTAAACCCAATTTAACTTAGAAGTAATCAAATTAGTGAGCAGATGTCACTTAAAGCATAAATGCTTTGTTTCTCAAAGGTCTTAAAAGTCAGTTAAATAACTACATTTGACAGGCAGCAGCTGGAAGTACAAGGAAAACAACAGACAGGTTAGGAATAAGGTTGTTGAGAAGTTTAGAGCAGATATATTTCATAACAGCATCCAAATAATAAACAGTATTTCAAGACTTTGGAGGAGCCACAAAGATCCCCAGCTCAGGTGGGAATCTTTTGACAACTGTAAGAAATATTACTTAGAACTGTGCAAAAACAGCTTGCATTCAGTACCTTATATGCAACATACGACTCGAACCAGATCAGAGGTCGTCAACGCGTGGCTCTCAAGCTACATGTGGCTTTCCCCACAGTTTGCTGTGGTTCGTGCCAGCAGGACTATGTCCAGGTTTTTGTTTGAATGCAGTTTATGGAGTATTGGAGTAAAAAAATATTTTACTGTACGTCGGAAATATTTCCACTCCCGTCCCCGTTCCACCTCTTTCAAGCAAAGACGCTTTACACTTTGACTGCATTTCATTCAGCTGTTTTGCAGTTATTTAATTGGAAGGAACACTAACCTAGTTAAACCAGACATTTTTATCACCTCATGACACGTCATCATTGCCTGTTTGCAAAGCACACACATAAGTCACAACCCCGTCCCTTACTCTGCCATAAAAAGAAAAAAAAAGAAGACGACATTTGCAGCCTCAACTACTGAATCAAAAGTGATCTACACATCAGTTTAAAATATTATTTTTAAACTCATACAGGTCGGCAAGGAATGATCAATGGATCACTATTTATACCTAAAACTAATACAATTTTGGTGATTTAATGAATTTAGCGTTAATCTGTAAAAAAAAAAAAAAAAAAAATGTTCGTTGCGATCACGGAGTCTGGGACTGGCCATCTTTGCCCAAATATAGTAACACCTCACTCCTGACATCTTCCAGCAGCTACGTAATGGTGCGGTAAGCCTAGCGCCATTCTCCCCACCTTACAGTCAAAATTGATGTGAACCACTATACACACCTGCAATCAACAACAATTATTTAAGATTTCAAGAGGACTTCACAACTGAAATTTCTGAGAGCTATAGTTAAACTGCCAAAGCCCACATGCATGGCAGTTTTATGTTGTAATACATCAGGTAAAAGTGAAAAAAAAAATTGTTATTTCACCTTTCCGATTTATGATCCACCACGGATGGGTTACTGCAGTCCGGGTCATTGGAATGCCAACTTGAAGAAAGAGGATTTGCCATCGAACTTCTGGCCATAAAAAAACACGTAATATGTAGCCAACATTTAAAAGAAGAATGTTTTCAAGATTACTTGGATAATAGCGTGTTGTGACAAACACCAGATACAACACTGGGACTTGCTCAACAGCCGATACCGCACTGTGACGTCACAAACCTGTAGTTGGCAGTAGCGTTCTTTGACAAATTCAACCTGGACTATATTTTTATCAGCTTAACTTCCACCACCTGCTGACGTTCCTTGCTCGAGCTTTAGCCAATCGATGAGGACAGCATCTTCTCCAAAGCCAATCATTTGTCAAGATGCTCTTCATTAAGGCGAAGGCCCAGCTTCCCCATTCACCACATTGGCCAAACTTTGACGACATCTGCCGAAAGTTCAATTGTCACACCTGTCACCTTTGCTATCCAACTTTGACTTCCTCCTCTGGCAGATAGAAAAAAATCGACAGAAAAGCTTCACCTACTTATAAGGCGCATGGTTCAAAGCGTAGGAAAAATTAGCGGCTTATAGTTTGGAAAATACAATGTACACTATATTGCCAAAAGTATTTGCTCACCCATCCAAATTATTGGAATCAGGTGTTCCAATCACTTCCATGGCCACAGGTGTATAAATTCAAGCACCTAGGCATGCAGACTGTTTTTACAAACATTTGTGAAAGAATGGGTCGCTCTCAGGAGCTCAGTGAATTCCAGCGTGGAACTGTGATAGGATGCCACCTGTGCAACAAATCCAGTCGTGAAATTTCCTCGCTCCTAAATATTCCACAGTCAACTGTCAGCTGTATTATAAGAAAATGGAAGTGTTTGGGAACGACAGCAACTCAGCCACGAAGTGGTAGGCCACGTAAACTGACGGAGCGGGGTCAGCGGATGCTGACGCGCATAGTGCGAAGAGGTCGCCAACTTTCTGCAGAGTCAATCACTACAGACCTCCAAACTTCATGTGGCCTTCAGATTAGCTCAAGAACAGTGCGCAGAGAGCTTCATGGAATGGGTTTCCATGGTCGAGCAGCTGCATCCAAGCCATACATCACCAAGTGCAATGCAAAGCGTCGGATGCGGTGGTGTAAAGCACGCCGCCACTGGACTCTAGAGCAGTGGAGACGCGTTCTCTGGAGTGACGAATCGCGCTTCTCCATCTGGCAATCTGATGGACGGGTCTGGGTTTGGCGGTTGCCAGGAGAACGGTACTTGTCTGACTGCATTGTGCCAAGTGTAAAGTTTGGTGGAGGGGGGATTATGGTGTGGGGTTGTTTTTCAGGAGCTGGGCTTGGCCCCTTAGTTCCAGTGAAAGGAACTCTGAATGCTTCAGCATACCAAGACATTTTGGACAATTCCATGCTCCCAACTTTGTGGGAACAGTTTGGAGCTGGCCCCTTCCTCTTCCAACATGACTGTGCACCAGTGCACAAAGCAAGGTCCATAAAGACATGGATGACAGAGTCTGGTGTGGATGAACTTGACTGGCCTGCACAGAGTCCTGACCTCAACCCGATAGAACACCTTTGGGATGAATTAGAGCGGAGACTGAGAGCCAGGCCTTCTCGTCCAACATCAGTGTGCGACCTCACAAATGCGCTTCTGGAAGAATGGTCAAAAATTCCCATAAACACACTCCTAAACCTTGTGGACAGCCTTCCCAGAAGAGTTGAAGCTGTTCTAGCTGCAAAGGGTGGACCGACGTCATATTGAACCCTATGGATTAGGAACGGGATGTCACTTAAGCTCATATGTGAGTCAAGGCAGGTGAGCAAATACTTTTGGCAATATAGTGTATATGCAGGTGCTGGTCATAAAATTAGAATATCATGAAAAAGTTGATTGATTTCAGTAATTCCATTTAAAAAGTGAAACTTGTATATTATATTCATACATTACATACAAACTCATATATTTCAGATGTTTATTTTGTTTAATTTTGATGATTACAAATGACAACAAATGAAAATCTCAAATTCATCATATCAGAAAATTAGAATATTGTGAAAAGGTTCAAAATTGATGGCCCCTGGTGCCACACTCTAATCAGCTAATTAACTCAAACCACCTGCAAAAGCCTTTAAATGGTCTTTCAGTCTAGTTCTATAGGCTACACAATCATGGGGAAGACTGCTGACTTGACAGTTGTCCAAAAGACGACCATCGACACCTTGCACAAGGAGGGCAAGACACAAAAGGTCATCGCTAAAGAGGCTGGCTGTTCACAGAGCTCAGTGTCCAAGCACATTAATAGAGAGGCGAAGGGAAGGAAAAGATGTGGTCGAAAAAAGTGTACAAGCAAGAGAGATAACCGCACCCTGGAGAGGATTGTGAAACAAAACCCATTCAAAAATGTGGGGGAGATTCACAAAGAGTGGACTGCAGCTGGAGTGAGTGCTTCAAGAACCACCACACACAGACGTATGAAAGACATGGGTTTCTGCTGTCGCATTCCTTGTGTCAAGCCACTCTTGAACCACAGACAGCGTCAGAAGCGTCTTGCCTGGGCTAAAGAGAAACAGGACTGGACTGCTGGTGAGTGGTCCAAAGTCATGTTCTCTGATGAAAGTAAATTTTGCATTTCCTTTGGAAATCAAGGTCCCAGAGTCTGGAGGAAAAGAAGAGAGGCACTTCATCCACGTTGCTTGAAGTCCAGTGTAAAGTTTCCACAGTCAGTGATGGTTTGGGGTGCCATGTCATCTGCTGGTGTTGGTCCATTGTGTTTTCTGAGGTCCAGGGTCAACGCAGCCACATACCAGGAAGTTTTAGAGCACTTCATGCTTCCTGCAGCTGACCAACTTTTTGGAGATGCAGATTTCATTTTCCAACAGGACTTGGCACCTGCACACAGTGCCAAAGCTACCAGTACCTGGTTGAAGGACCATGGTATCCCTGTTCTTAATTGGCCAGCAAACTCTCCTGACCTTAACCCCATAGAAAATCTATGGGGTATTGTGAATAAGAAGATGCAATACACCAGACCCAACAATTCAGAAGAGCTAAAAGCCACTATTAGAGCAACCTGGGCTATCATAACACCTGAGCAGTGCCACAGACTGATCGACTCCATGCCACGCCGCATTGCTGCAGTAATACAGGCCAAAGGAGGCCCAACTAAATACTGAGTGCTGTACATGCTCATACTTTTCATGTTCATACTTTTCAGTTGGCCAACATTTCTATAAATACTTTGTTTTTATTGGTCTTCAGTAATATTCTAATTTTCTGATATGATGAATTTGAGATTTTCATTTGTTGTCATTTGTAATCATCAAAATTAAACAAAATAAACATCTGAAATATATGAGTTTGTATGTAATGTATGAATATAATATACAAGTTTCACTTTTTAAATGGAATTACTGAAATCAATCTACTTTTTCATGATATTCTAATTTTATGACCAGCACCTGTATTCTATATATGGGGCCTCATGCAGCGTCATTTTCATGTTCTTGTTGCAGATTTCTCT